TTTCTGAGACTTCGTTGTTCTGCCCGTTGTTTTTTTATCATTGTTTTTTCGCCCGCATCTTTTCGGTGCTTTTCTGCAACCAAACTTTTCTCTTTTTTTATATAAAAAAAAATTCTAGAGTCGATGTGGCAGCTTATAATCGGTGTTCACTGTGATCTCTTCTGTTATATTTATTTTTTTATATACTTTCACCCTGAAGGGCTTGTATCAGGGATAATCGCAAGATACGAACGACCATAAAAAAAATATCATTAGGCAGAGCATTCCATTCCTTGATGGTCATGAAGGGGAACAGCGTGACAATAAATAAGGGACGAGAAGAAGTAACGACAGACACGGCGCTGACTAGTAACCAGACTTGTACCGTGCGCATTACAAGTAATCAAATTACTTGTAATCGATTATTTTTTGGAGTAATTTTGTAATCAGTTGATTACTTTTATTAGGCAGTAATCACACGAGGAATCTGATTACTTTTTGAAGTAATAAAATTACTTTTAACCGTTACAATTTGTCCACGGCCTTCCCCCCCCCCCCCCCCCCCCCCCACCCCCGGCACACGCCTTTTTTTTATAAAATGACAAAAATAAAATCTGCTTTTTTTTTTTTTCGAACGGAAAAAAGAAAGATTTTTGCGGAGCTGTAGGAAACGAGGTCAATCTCTTTCTATGTACAGTTTCTGTGGAATGTCCGTTTTTTTTTTTTTCGAGCTGGGACTGGAAGTGGGAAGCTCCAGGGAAGCCACAGTGCGTGACAAAGGCCATTCAGGGCGAAAAATTGAGGAAGCTGAATGTAGCTTTGTGAGTCCTTCGTCCAAACTAGCCCCCTCACGCACACACACACAGAAATAAAAAAAAATCCTGCTTAGGGTACCTACTCGCAGCCCGTAGGAGAACCAGAACCGAAGAATGCCTAAAGCGGATGCAAAATATAGCAAAGGCAATTGAAATATTTCCCTATTTACCCTAAGTGGTCTTTGTGACAAGCAATGTTTCGAGCTGAGGAGGGGTCGGGGCGATCTCTTCCCCTAATGGATACTACACATGATCCGTTTCAAATCCTGGAGCTGGTGCTCTTTTCTATAACATGCGAGCTCATCCACATGTGAATAATAAAATGAGGGACGCAAACTTTGAGCGACAACCCTTGCTCAAGCTTAACAAGACCTAGAACCCCCTCCGCTCCCCCCCCCCCCCCCCCCACACACACACATACACTGGCGAACGCCCAAATCATTAAACGTCTTTAAACGAATTCTATGCTTATGTCCGCATTGTGAAGGTACAACGACCACGAAGAGGGAGCCTGTTTTTCTTCTTCAATACTTGTGCAAATGTGAAATATAGGTTGGAAGTAGTTCATTGTTATGAGCGCTAAAGATGTGTCCTCACACAATAAAGTAATCGGAAAAGTAACGATTACTTCTTTAAGTAATGTCCAATTACTTTGGCCCTCGAGTAATCAAGTAATCTAATCGAATACTTTTTAGCCAAGAGTAATGGTAATTGTAATCGATTACTTTTTTTTAGTAACGTGTACAAGACTGCTAGTAACTGAGTTTATTTGTGCCCAAAACACGCAACAAACAGGAAAAAATACACAAACAACCCGTCACAAATCTTCCACGCACACGCTTATCTGCGATCAAACGAACTTGCCACAAGTCATGATATCGTTCACTTCGTCACCCCTCAGAGCTTAGGACGGAGCACTGACACACGCTTCCCTCTCCTTTCAAAGATATAAAAATGCTTCATCAATCTCCCTCACCGTTTTGTTTTTGTTTTAGTTTTTTTTAATTAAAAAATAAAAGTAAAACTTCAAAAAATAGGAAAAAGTTAATTAAGATTTTTTAAAAAAATATATTTTTTTTTTAAAATGTAAATATTTTTATCACTGTTTTATTTTGAATGGTGATGCATCACATGGACTGAATTCTTTCTTCTCTTCTGTTCGTGACGCCGCAAATATATATTGCGAGTTTGCGTTCAATAAACTCCGTTGCAAGTTAGCGCTACCTCCGTGTCACTTCTTTGTCTGGTCCTCGTCTTTCCGCGCTGTTTCTAATTCCTAAAATTGTGATATCATGGAAACGTTGCTCACAGCAGCAACTTTTCTATTTTATGAGTTCCGAGCTGGCCAGAGGGGGAGGAACGAAGGGAAAGGGAATGTTCCCTCGTACTTACATTTATATACCTGCCCGTCTCTCCTATGTAGACTCTGCCACACGAGAGAGGCGTCTGGTAGACAACCACCGTTGCACACGTAGCATAAAGGGTGCGGTGGTTGATGTCACAGGCCACTCAAGGGGAACCGCCTCTATTCACGAAGGTGCGCAGTCGGGACAGCTTACGGGGCGCAGAGAAAACAACAGGTACAGTCGGGGACAAAAGTTCCCAGGACGCGCGAGCTGCAACTGAAACGCATTGCTCTGCCATCTGCCGGCGGATCGCCTGGTTTCGACATCGCACAAAAGCGCATGCGCGTCCTACTGTGCCTGCAAACATGTGTGTTTTCCCGCTCTTGTGCGGCGCGGCGCCTAACTTAGAATCGGGCGCGTGGTACCGCCTCGGAGAAAGCGCTTAGTGACATGGCACCTATAAAGCAAGAATTCCCGGCCCAGCTCAAGTGAGCGATATATATAAATTCAACTGGCTATAAACAAGGTGTGCTGACAAGGCGAAATGCGGCACAATGCCGCAAGCGGTATTTCCAGTTTTTGAATGTGTAGCAGACGCAAGTCATCCGCGAGCGCTATCTCTGAGGCAGTACCACGCGCCCGATTCCGAGTTAGGCGCCTCGCCACAGAAGGGAGGAAAAACACGCAAGTTTGCAGGCACAGTGGGACGCGCATGCGCTTTTGTTTTATCTCGAGACCAGGCGACCCGCCGGCAGATGGCAGAACAATGCGTTTCAGTCGCAGCTCGCGCGTCCTGGGGACTTTTGTCCCCGATTGTACATCAAACTTATTGGTGACTCGCTTAACATTGTGACACAGGACATGGAGATACGGCACGACAACAGGTCTCGACGCTGGCTTTTGTCGTACTTCAGAGCCAGTTATATCCCGGAACTTTTTTAGCACGGACTCAGAAATGCCCACAATGACACCGAGAAGGAAGCCTGCTGAGATCAGCTTAACCACCTGCGCTTGGAGGCTGCTCTCGCACCCGTGGTGACACGACCTGGTCATGCGTCTGCTCGCATATATGACACCGCTGTAGCCCGCTTCATGATGTCCCCCTTTCATGATGTCAAACTAAGTCACCAAACTTTATGCGTTGTAGTCCTTAATGGTCTTCGCAAAAGAATATATCTTATTTAATTACGTATTGATACGGAGCTCATGTATTTTGCGGATGTTTATCTTTACGTTGTGAAATATAGTTTGTAGCCTTTCAGCAATCCCTTTTACATAAGTCACGAAAATATGCCAGCAAGGAGGGCGCCTGGTTTATGAATATTAATTTCGAAGCAATATGCTGGATTAATAATAATATATGAAACAAGCATAACACATTTCGCCCGCTGCTGTGAAAAAAATTGTCATCGGGATGATTCTATCACGAATTTTCCTACGTGACGAATAGCCCAGCTACCAATTCACCAAACGAACGGTCGTACAACCCAAATTACAGTTGTGGTTTATTCCAGTTTTTATTTTCTCTTGCTTCTTCACTTAATAATGATTAAATACATATGGCACAGTGGAGGCCCAATACTGGTCTTGGTGGCCCCAAGGTCTTATTCCGAAAAAAACAAACAAAAAAACAATATTTTCTTGCATTTCACTTTTTTCTTTTTTTTTTTTTTTTGTTACGACTCAAGTGTTTTATGGGTGAAAATGTGAACCTTTGCGATTGTTAACCATTTATATATCATACCTTCATAGCAGAAAACTGTCATTGCTAACTTAGTACACTTGCCAAATTTTCAAAATCGCATCCGGACAAATTAAAAATTTTAGCAAGGAGTGATACTAGAAAATTTATTCCAATATTGAGCCTTGAGCTTAAGCTTGTCTTCATTAATCGTTTAAACAAAAATCTATGCTTTTTTATGTTAACAAATATAAGGATATTACCAATACATTCACGTGGACTGAAGAAACATATAAACAGATTAAATGTTGTATACGAGTCGACATTTTGATGGATTATTTTTTATTAATATCTTGGTTGGTACCACACTCAAGTTGTTGGAAATAAACGATGCTCCGAATTAATTTTTGAATAGGCACACGCTTCTAGTGTAATGTTAGAATAAAAAAAAAAGTTCATAGATGTGGCAGGAAGCTTGATAACTGCGAAATACGTGTTAAGAACCTTACTTTCAACAGGATTACGACGAACTAAAAATTCTGGGACGATCATATGGCGTGACGCGTATAAACAGTGGCAGCTCTTTTATTTATTTTCGTTTACGTTCACGTTGTCGCAAAGGTTTTCGTCAAATTTAGCGGGGAAACTGAATTGCTGCGTAGGTCAGGCGACGTCAAATTTTCCGCTAAATTTAGCTGGGGAGCTGTTTTTGTCTTTAGGTGCCATAACGTCAGGTCACGCGACATTACGTTTCCCTCCAAATTTAGCGGCTAAACTAAATTGATGCGTAGGTCACGTGACGTTTATTTGTTTCGCTAGATCTATTTGTGAAACTGAGTTGGTGTATTGGTCACGTAATGTAAATATTCCGCTAAGATTATCTGGGAACCTGAATTCGAGTGTAGGTTCGGTGACGTCAGGCCACGTGACAACAATTTTCCCGCCGAATTTAGCGGTGAAACTGAATTGGTGCATAGGTCACGTGACGCCAATGATTCCGCTATATTTAGCGGAGAAACTGAATTCGTGAATAGGCCACGCCGCCGCGAAACCGTGGGGACAAGTCCGCAACAGCTACCGCAGTAAGGAGCCAAAGGAGATCACCGTCACCGTAGTTTTATTGTATGGATGTCCGTTCCCCCAAGCATTATTGAAGAAGGGTGTCGACTTTTGACTTCCCTAACAGCTCTCATCATAGATGTAGTACTTTGGCGTCGTGCCGCAAAGAAGATCGAAAATAAAATCACAACAGGTGGTGTTCTGCTTCAGCTGAGACTCAGGCACCAGGAGAGCGCACGTGGAATCTGCAGGGTTCAGACATTTTAGAGTTTTTTTTTTATGTCAGTGCATCACTGCTTCAGTACCATATAAACATTCTGGCAGCTGTCACACTCCTGGCAGTCTAAAATGCATTATGTAGTGATCTAAATTTGTTTTAATTCTAGAATATGAAGCACACTCACTTTTTAACGGAAAGGAATAACCTCGTCGCTTTGTCCTCTTTTTAACCGCGAGGCTTCCGGAGGAAGGAAACGAGAGACTATGTAAAGAGAATGTTGATCTACGCGTGTACTCTTTTCTTCGAGGGGGGACATGGCCACGGTGCTGGTGGAAGGGCAGTGAAAGGATGAAGGAATTGTCGGGAGGTTGAGGCTAGGAAAAGTGGAACAAGCAAATCGTTTGTCGTAACTGAGGCGCCAAGAAAGTTGAGGGAGCAAGCGTAACATATTGTTCTGTTAATGAAAATCACTCGCTGTTTGTAGTATCACATTTATGTGTTGTTACACATTACGAACAGTATGAGTCATGTTTGAAAAAGATACTTAAACCCAAGCGGAATAGACCGATTTCACCAGCCAGTTTGACTACACCACCGCTGCCGCAATGCATCGTGGGAACTTCAGTCTTTTTGCACGTGTGATAGCCTAGCTGGAGCACTGCGCGTTTAAAGCACGAGAAGGCACGAGCCGTCGCGTGCACGGCCGTCTGCCTCCTGAGAAGTAAAGTTATGGCGGCGTCACGCATGCGCCGAACGCTTAGTGAGATCGGTCTATTGGGGGCAGATTAAAAGAACCCGGATGAAGCGTTGCAACATGTCCCAAATCTTGTCAGGCATGAATGCGACTTGCAAGCATTTGTTTTCGGACTACGATTGTGATCATTTTTCAGAAACACTTAAGCGAATCTTTTAGGAAGTATAACATACCGCTGATGTATGTAGTTCTGAGAACGGCGCATTCGTTGCACTCCGCGTATGCGGCGTACGTCTCCAATGCGCCGATTTCTGCAATTAGGAAAGGGAACATTAAGTAAGGGCATTCAACCCGTTTACTGCAGGTTGTGAGTTTTTTACTTGAAATATAAATGTTACAACTTAAGAAACGGAGGCACAGCATTATGTTTGAAAATGGTTCATTATAGTGAATAAACATGCGGTTTTAGATACCTTAAGTATTATTATATTAAGTTAAAGCGATATAATGTTTTTTTAGTCATTTTCGACTGGTATTTTTCCAAAAATTATCCAGCTTTGGTAACTTCTTTTTATTTCATGCTAAATATTTTAAGCAACACCAATAAAACTCTCTTCGACCGCATAATGCATTTCTAGCATGCTTACCCCGTGTAAGAGGAGTGAACTTCAATATGTTTTTGCCAGTGTACCCAGAGGACGATTCAAGGGTCGCGGTCGTACTCCTGAAGAAAAAGGGCCGAAAATATGTATAAGAAATTTAAGAATAATTTCACATATGACACCTCGGAATCAGTGTGTAAATTTACAATATATTCACTTGTGCTTCGTTGAATGCCACATAACGTAAGTCATTGTTATTAGACTTGAGAGATCAATCAATTAAATTCAGTTCTATTCGAATGATGCCTTAATCGCGATAAACATTTTAAACCGATTAATCGATTGAGTTTTAAGTTGGAAATCACGGAGAGAGACTAAAATGCTTCAGCATTTCGTACGAATTAAATTTAGGGTGATACAGGGCTTGGAAATATTGTACAAACATTTTATTTTATGCCAATAAGAGAGATAATAAAGTCACATGAAACATTTAGTATTGTTATATTTTTCAGATGATCTTGCTGAACCTTAGGTAGGTGGGCAGCAAGTTTGGTTTCAGAACTGTTTCAACCCTGATTTTAGGGTCAGTCAGGTGATCCCTATTGTAAAACGTGATGTTGGCTGCTCTAAAACAAAGAGAAGAACGTGGATTGTGTGTCGGATATGATATTGAAGATTCATATTTATTGTGGTGTGTGCTACACAGGACAAACTTAACGTTGCTTGAATGATGGGATATCTGAACATAAACGGTCCGTATAGAAGAAGGACAAGTACTTTGAATTGCCGAAGCATTTAGCCAAATGCTACAATTGCGTTCCTTTGTTTTATATTTTCCCTGTTGTCTTATTTGATAAGAACGAACACAAACGCTTGGTCAAAGAGTGTCACTTTTTTTTAACCATGGTAATTAAGTGGACAGGCCTTTTTTTGCATCAGAGCCTGAATTAAGATTTATACTGGTTTAACCGCGCATGTGTGCGCGTGTGCGTGTGGGAAGGTGAGGGGGACAGGAAGAAGAATTTGTTTTATTTTTCTGGTATGGTCAAGTTGCTGCAACCATGACGCAAAAACTGTATTTAGTGGTGTATACTGCTTTTGGTTGTAATTCCTTTTTTGTGTGTTTTGTGTCATTTCCCTTCCTTCTGTTCAGACTTGAGCTCCTCGTCAAATAAATTTTCGGCTCTGCTTAAGATTTTGTGTTTGTCCTGATCCTAATTTTTACCTCAGTCTTATTTTTTTGTTATTATGTATAACAATAAAGGTAATAATAATATTTTAATACTAATAATATTATTATAATTATTAATATAACGCGATATTAGTAGTTAATATTATTATTAAACAAGCAGCTATTGGTTTTCGACGGGCCCGCATTTTTATGTGTTGTATTGAAGTTTGTGCAATAAATTATTGTTATCATTATTTATTAAGATTCCTGGAAAGTGTATTTACATTTTTAAACGAGCTAAATACGAGTTTAGGAAATTGTTTGTCTACTGAAAAGCTTTGCCTTGTGGGTGACCTAAATACTAACCTTCTAAGGCCTCTAAGTCTATTGTGTGCGATTTGTTTAAATATCCTGGCTGACTGCGGCATTTTAAGTGTCATTCACGCTCCCGCTAGAACGAAATGCGTATCTGACAACCTCGTTACATCTTGCATTGATCATACAAACATTAGAAACTCGGGGGGTCCCAGTAATATCGGCGGTAATTGCGCGAAAATTGGCGGACCACTACTTTGTGGCATGTGGAATTAACTTCGATGTGATTTCAGATCCACCTAAACATAAAAGTCATGCAACAATAATCGATTCTAGTCGATTTCATAACTTGATTTCCAGCTATGACTGGAATAAGCTCATCGAAAGTTTTGACTATTATGATGCCAAAGCAAAGTTAGTTGCATTGGCATTCTTGCTCTTTTTTGCTCTTTCATTCATTATTGCTTGAACTCAAATGAGTTTAAAATATTGATAAATGAGTACCTAATAAAACAATTAATTTAATGTCTAGACTTGGGAAAATAATGTAAAACCTAAATGCATATTTGTATTCTGCGAATCAAAGAAAGACGAACACTTCTGGATGTTTTTTTGATAGTAAAGGCATATTGTTTAATAGGTTACTTCTACTTACATGGATTGGCCTTCGTACTCTATGAGAACTGGGTAGGCACCATTTGCTGGTGGTCCGGTTTCGGTGAATTTGACGCATTTCGCAGTGCCGCCGAAAACCGGGTCAGACTCGTAGTTTCTATAGACCACGTGCCAAGTCTCCGGAAGTGGAAAACACTGGTTGCAATAAATTGAATCGAGAGGATGGGAATTAGCTTCGACAAGGGCGAGCAGCCTCCCAGAAGAAAGCTCAATTACTGCGTATGTGAGTAGTATTCTCCGCAGTCCCCTATTTTCACAGTTGGACTGTTTAATCACTGCAAGGCAGCTCATTTCGTTTGCTCTATTCGACCCTGCAACAAAAGTTTATATTGACGTCTGTGTGTAAAACTTTCTTAGGCTTATTTTCCCTGTATTTTTTGCAGTTATCTTATTGATTTTCAAGATGTTCAGGGAGACGCCAAAGTAAGTTTTTTTATTTTATAATCCAGTAGTGAGGTCATCACTGTTTGCCGCCGAGAACGCATGCTAAACATCCCGTGGTGCAAGCGTAAGACGTGCTCTGCTGTTCAGTTGGTTTAGTTATTTTTCGAGTATTCACCATCTGTCTTGGTTATTTTTTCACTCCAATTGCAACAGAATGAGAATCAATGCAGCTAGTATTTCTCTCATCCTTTGTATTCAATTTTATTCTGCCACTATGGCAAATTCCTTCCTAAATAATAATGTTTGGCTCTCCAATTTTCTGCCCTAATAGCAACTCTTCAATTTGTACATATCTTTCCTACGTACATGATCTCCCCATTGAAGAAAAATTATGCAGCGGCACACCTTCGGTAAGTATAGTGTTTTGAAATCCTAGTGGTAGGGTTGACAAAAATAAGAAATCACTAAGTGTGCATAAGATCAGGCAGACTTGTGCAGTTCTATTGCACATGTTTGGCGGCTGAATGTATCCTAGGTCCTTTAATTTTTTTTCTAAACGCTCTGATGATCATTACATCTGTGGTTTATTTTCTGATAATTATAGGCATGCTGTTTATAGTTTATTGCAATTATTCGCCTGATTTTAATCAGTGTATCACAAAACAACTGCAACAACAAAACGGCGGGGATGCGCAATTTCTTTGAAATAAAAGACATCAATACCTTTTTAGATCACAATTGACTATAAATTGTGATTTAAAAAAAAACCTTCACCCCTTAACTCAAAGCTACGTATACTGACCTTTGACAAGTCCTGGTACTGTTCAAGCTGCGGATTGAGCTCTGGCCAGGACTCACTTCCACTGCAGAAATGCAGGCTTACAAGTGCAGTTACGGCGAAGAAAATCAGTGGCATGTTTCGAGTTGCAAAAACACCTCTTGGAAGGTAGGAATTCTTCTGAATTTCAAAATCAGGGTACCATGAATTTATATCCAAATGGGTTGGAGACCTTCGGCAAGTTTATGCACAGTTTTCCTTTGTTCATTACTTTTTTTTTTAATCTCGAATGCCACATCCCAGAATCTATGAAATCATAGCAAGGTTTTTGCCAGTATCCAAGCTACATGCAGTCAAGGTCCAAGCTAGGTTGAATTTCAAGTACACTCTAAATATTGTGTGCTTTTTGAAGCTGAAATATTGGAGGTAATGCACCCTTTTTAATCCCTGAAATTATTACAAGGCTTCAACTAGTATCTACCATTTCAACGTGCCAAGGTTGTAAGCTGTATCTAACCTATGCTCGTGTCGAGGTCGAAGCGTTGTTCGCTTTCAACTACAGACTGAAAATGTATGCTTAAAATGGTTACGAGGTTTCTTTTTATCAGATTCAATGTCGTTTATTGAGACAGTAATGCTAAAAATGAAAATAATTCTCAATAACGACCTATATTTTTGTTTTACACTGCTATATATTTTTTTCTCAAAATAAACTCGGGAAAACATATTTTGAAATATTTATTAAAAAAATAGGCGTCATTTTTTACTTGTTCAAAGAACGCAGGCCCTCGGGGGTCATTTCCAAAATTTTGAGAAAATGGTTTTTTTATTTTTTATCTGAAAGGGTAATTCTGGTATATTTTCTCGTTTTTTGTGTTACGGCTGTTTATAGGTAAGAAACTGGCGAAGGAAAACTAACGAAAAATTGGCTATCGATACTATCCAGTGTTGCACGGAACGGCGTTCCTGGAACGCGTTCCTTTTAGGAGGAACGATGGAACGCCGCCGTTCCATTTTGCATCGCTGGAACTGGAACGGGAACGCGTTACATTTTTACTGGAACGGAAAAAGTAACGGCGTTCCTTTTTTCGTCCAGTGGGGTCATTTTTATTTTATTTCTCAGAGGGAAAGTATGAAAGTACAAAAAGAATATCTTTACGACGTGCAGGATCTCTTTAACTTTGTGACTACTAATCTTATGGATTATTTTGTGTGGCCCTCGCTTGCTAACAGTTTCGGGTGCTGGAGAGCTGGTGGACATCAATTCTTTTTTGAGTGCCCGAAACTGCGTTACAAAAAGCAAAACTTTTAGTCGTAGGAAAAGACAAAGAAAGAGGGTTGTTTCAAACTCACTTTCTTTGGTTCCACGAATCTTCATACACCTAGAAATCTTATTCCGGCTACAGCCATTTTTGAACTTCAATAACGATACCTACAATTACAACAAGATCACAGATTGCCAGATATCGGACTCACCCTTGTATCCCCAACATTATTCACTTAAAAGGTACACAAAAAAATAACCTATATTCCTTCTTTTGTCCTCTACCTTCAAACTGAACAACAAATCCAACCTTATCACCGAAGTATTTGTAGCTTTCAAGACTGACTTTTCGAAAGCCCTGCCCTCTCCTTCACTTGCTCGTCTTGCGGACAGCAACATCGAGAAGCAACTGTTGTTAAGTTCTAACCCGGGACTTTGTTAAATTGAAGCGTGTGAGGTTGTTGTAAAACGCTCATGCAATCTTGGGTAAAAGTACATTTGGGTCGTCTGAATTGTCTACTACAAACATGAACATGGTTAATAGCCGAGATTTTTAACATGAATTTATCAACAATGAAACCTTACTTCCGCGTGTTTTCTACTCCTGGTGCCCTTTTATCACGACATACAAACTTGTATGTTGACTATTTATGGGTAGATAAAAAAACTGCTTGATTTAACTAAATATGGTAATCAGCAAAAAATACAAATGTAACGTATATGTAACGATACGTTCCATTTTTAAAACTGTAACGGGAACGAGTTCCTTTTTCACAAATTGAACTTGTAGCGGGAACGCGTTCCAAAAATAAGAAGGAACGAGGAACGAGCTTCCGTTCCTTTTTTTTAGGAACGTGTACAACACTGATACTATCGAGCGTTTTTCCTTAACTATCAATAATGGACTATCGATATTACGGTCAATAGTTGACTATGAATAGTCGGCCATAGATAGTACTATCGATAGTTGATAATGGATATTACCATCGATAGTATTATAGATTTTGGACTATTGACAGTACTATCAATAGTTGGCTTTGGGTCGTCTAGTGACACTATCGAAAGTCAGCATTCAGAAAACTGTCAAGGGTTACGAAAACGAAAGCACTACCCAAAAAAGGAATGACGACGGATATGTGCCGGAAAAATAAGGCGTGGTTCTCCGAAAAACATGAAATCCAAAGAAACAACATATTAATTTGCATTCTCATAGAATTAATTCAGACACAAAACATAAACGGCGTTTTGATGGTTCTCCTGAGCACGTATTCATGGGGTTCATTAATATCTTTTGCCACGGGGTTCATGGGGTTCAAATATTATGTGGATAACATTTCCCATAATATATGGGAATAACACATCGCCAAAGAGCACCTAGAAACTACGGCCGCTAAATATAGCGTGACAAGCAGAAACCGTCCTCTGGGACGACTGAAAACGCAGCAGGAAAATACTATGAAAAAAGTGAGGGTACGAACAAGAATTTTTTTTTTTAAACGAAGATGACAACAGGACACAAGGTTGCTTGACAAAGAGCCAAGCCCCTGAATGCCCGCCGTGAAGCTGGTTCTAGCATTTTTAATATCGGTAATAGAATGTATCGCGGATTCGCATTAGTGTTATATTTTGGCATTGCTTACATTTAGTCATCGTAAAGTGATATTAGTCATTTCCTTTGGATCGACTTTTAGCAAAAGTTACCTTGTAATTTTGAGATCATGCCCACCACCTTCTGTTGTTCATTTTTATAATCAAGTATGTGGGTATCTTAGATTAAGAACAATAAAGCCGTTACCAAACGCGATAAGTATATGAAAAATTGTTAGACACAAGGTGTTTTTTTATTAACAGGTTTGCGTACTAGCGCCAACTGCTTCACAAATGCATGGTGTGGTGGCACGAAACATCCCGAGTCGCTAGAATATTTTAGCGCGTAAGCATTAGTGTCCTGGCAGATGCGCTGACTTCGGACTAGTTTGGATTAAGCGTTTGGCGCCACAGCCCTAGCAACTAAAAATCGCCGGAGACGTCCGCCCCCCCTCCCCCCCCCCCCCTTCCCCTTTTGCGATTTCAGAGCCGCGTGAAGTGCGAAACAAATGTACGACGAAACCGTCCAATTCGACGTCTGATACGACGTTCGGTCGCTGCTGGGTCATTCCATGTCAAACGTACCAGACGTTGCGCTCGACCACCTTCGATTTCTAAAAAAATATGCATGGCCTTTTGCCGTAATGTTCGTAGCCATTCCCTAAATACGTTTTGCTGATATTTTTTTGTTATTGCGTGAGCGTGGTTTTTACTTTTAAAACTAGCGTAAAACTAGGTATCACTCATTAATTGATGAAAAATCAGCTTTTCTACGAAACACCCAACAATATTTTTTCTTAAATTTGCACGGCTTTTGACTTGCAAAGTTGTTGGGCCTGTGCACTTTCGTTTAATTTAAATATTAAAAAAACACAGTTTTTAAATTTTAGCATTTTTGTTATTTTTACTAAAAAAATATAATTCATTCGGGGACTTAATAGAAACTTTTACCGGCTGCCTTGCAGGTATATAATCTATAAAAAATATTTAAACCGCTGAATTATATATCTCGCAGTAAAAACAAAATCCTGAAGTTGCAAAAAGTGCGTCTTGACGCGTAAGCGGCCGTTTATTTTGCCATGATGTGGTCCAACTATAAATACAAAATATGGTGGGTTGGGAAGAACAATCAATTGTCTTTTGATTCTGAACGTTTAACCAAAGTAATTTTTGATTAAATCGTGAAAACATGTTTTTGAAGTTGAACTCTCGCACCAGAACCCGGCGTCGCACAGCACGCCACCGGCGACGATAGCAGACACGATTAGGTCCAAAAAAAGAACGGCGTTTTCTACCGCTTCCCCTTGTCCGTCTTTCCGGCTGCAAGGGAAGAAACGGCGGGCACCATGTTGATAATCGGACGTGCCGCCAGTGCTTAGCCATACACACTAAAAATTTCAACACCCATGTTCGTGTTAAAAGGGTGTTTTTCCGAGCTCACACCCTTCCTACACCATTTTTACATGATTTTTGAATATTCAAGGGTGTACGGAAAGGCCTACACCCTTCGTACATCCTTTTTACACCCTACGGCTACCGAAATCGTGTTAAGAGGGTGTTGCGGTGGTACACCCATGATTTCCGAATCGTCGAACTCGAAAACCGCCGAATTGCAGACATAAGCGCCGACAGCAGAAGTCAAGAAGCAGCCTGCTCAATTTAGAGGATTTCGTGAAGTTCAAGTAAGCACAATGGGCAGCTGACATCCAAGCCAAGCCAATGCTCAAGTTGTTTTCAAGCCAGATGAATGCCGGCGTTGTGTACAAGCTCCTTGGTTGTTTACGTGCAAGCGACCACGAAAATATCATCGGTTACTCACGCACTTCTGCTCAGAATGGTGAGACCACATCGGTTCTATTATGATACATTCCGTCTCATCCTGAGATGTACTAAAGCGAAGGCTAGACGTGCGAGACGGTTCGGGCTCACAGCTTTACTGTGAGCCTGTACCGTAAAGGTCGGTTCCGACACTTGCGTTTGAGTGTGTTTGTCTGCGTTGCGTTTAGAACCGAAAACGAGTCACCGGCACATCTGTGCTTCGTATGAAGCGTGGATTCCAATTCAAAGAATCATCTTGGCACGCGATATAAGCAGCAGGGATGTCCTGGTTTCTCGCAGCCGCAACGCGGTCAAACGCAACTGTTTGAACCAGGCTTTACGTGGTTGTCCTGGGCTTGTCCCTCGCGCTTTATTCTTTCGATTTTAAGTATTCATTTTCAACTCGCTCGCTTTTACCAGTACAAGTAGATACTCAGGCTGCACGAGGGTTCGTGCAGTGCGACCATCT